AAGGCTGGATTAAAAAGGATTGGAAAAAAGCCTTAAAGTGTGGTTTAGGAAAAAAATATCTGTTGCTGAAGACCTGTAAAGCTTCTTGAGTTGCAAGGCCAGAAAATACAAGTAGTAAGGAGCAGTCTATTTGTTTGAGCAGTTACTGGTGTACAATCCTCACACACCACTGAATTTATTCTTTTATATCCTCACCCTGTAAGAAAACCATATTTATCATTATAAAGAATGAAATTATAGAGACAGGTAATATTTTTAGTGGATATATAGCATACAGCATAACTTAGCTAACCTCTGAAATTCACACCTGCAGGGTTAGTGGGGAGGAATAGAGGACAACTCTTTATTCTGCAATACATTAAGATTACTTAATAGTTTACATCATAAAACCCAGCATAATTATATGTTCCTGAGGCACTCTCCCATCCTTCTCAAAGCTTTTTGAAAAACTTTGGAATTAGGGAAAGGAATTACCCTATTGCTGATCTCCACAGAGTAGGCTGAATAAGGGTCATAAAAAAAAGTAATAAAAGTTTTCCTTATCTATGGTTTTCTTTGTAAATCTCATTATTGGACAAAACCAAAAGTTTTGCCATTCTTAAATGTCTCCGCTGCCCTCTGGTGTCTCTCCTTTGCAGCTTCACACAGAAAGCTAATTCCTCAACAAGATCTCTTCCACGAAGTCCCTTCCTAAGAGAAAAGTTACACACAAACTAGTGAACCATGCTTCTAGATGCAGTTCTTCTGCAGACTGATGCTTAAACAACTTCTGAAAAAGATCTGATTAATAAGTAAGCCTCATTCCAATCAGACACTGCAGAACACATAAAAACTATGTCTTACACTGAACATTGCCAGCAGAAATTCCTTCAAATTAGCCAGAGCACTACTAAACTGAACTGAAGACTTACTTACAATAATGTGGGAAATAACCGTCTTCCTGTTTTATGCAAACTTCTGTAGATGTGCTATTAAACTGCTGCTTATGCAAGGATTTTTTTTTCCTTTTTCCTTTTTTCTGAAGAACTGCTAACAGTGAAGGCAAAACAATGACCTGAGCTAAAATACTTTCCAAGAAATATGCACACAACGGCCATAAAAGAACATCAAGCAAAAAAATTACATGGTTGCATTAACAAGAAACCCAAACATACTGGCTTATTCATGTGTGTGTGTGGTAGAGGAGGAATGGCTGGAAAAGACAGAACCTAAGCTATAGACACATATTGGTAAAGCAAGATGCTGTATTCTGCAGTTTTATTAAATAGCGCATTCCTTTTGATGCATTTGATAGCTTTGGAAAACTGCCTTTAAGTCTTTCTAGTAAGATGTAGCGGCAGTCCCCAGAGAAGCTGAGTTTGGGTTTTTTTTTTTTAATTCACAGAATTAGTTAGCTGCAGGGAAGAACTTGGCTCAGGGAGTCAATCCACATGTGGCTGGATGACGCAGTTTCATCTTTTGAGAAATACACAGAAAATCTGGCACATCATTCTTGGAAGACTGGAAAGGCTCTGAAGTACAACTTGTTCTTTCATCACACAACCATCTTAGTGAAACTTATCAGGTGGAAGGACTCATCAGGAAAAATTCTATGGGATCCCAGGAGGTCTGAAGAGCTAGAAGACCTGTTCTTTAATCTGCGGCTGTAAATTCCAATAAAGGGAGTAGCGGATTTCCCCTAAAAGGAAAAGTAAGTCAAGTATCCACCCTACTGTAAACAAAGCAATAGGGGTGGACAAACACCAGCTTCCTGAAATACTCTGCTCAAAAAGGGAATCCATGTTTCACCGATTAGGAAATATGACAGGCTAGGAATATAAAATACATCTAAACCAGACTCTTAATAGCCCAAGAATCATTAGAAATACATAGGTTTTTACTCCATCTTGTACATTTGACTGGTTTATCCCAAATCTTCTCTCAGACTGGGGTCTCCACTTACATCTCATGGCCTTTGTGTACATGTCATTGTTGAGACAGAACCCTCCTTATCTTTTCAAACGATTACTCTCTTCTGGGAAAAGGGGTAGAAAAGCATTTCTGATTAGTCAAAAGGCTTTGCTTGCAAAACCTTTGGTTTGTATATTTGCTCAGTGCAGATAGGGAAAAGGTGGATAAAAACTACTATTATGAAAAGGAATGTCCCTTTACCAGTGCATAGGCATGCTCATAACATTCAGTGGTACACAGAAATAACCTTAACATAAAATACAAGCTAGGGATCGAAACCAGCTAAAGAGAACAGGAGAATGTTTTGGCAAACATCTGCTGAGAAAATTAATAATTACAGTTCTATGTATTAAAAACAGAGTTACCATCCACAAGATCCAAATGGCTTTAAACACACCTGCTTCACAAGAAACAGCCTAATTTCATCTTTCTGTTGAGCACATCTGCCTTTTTTGGACAATAATCTTTCAACAGGACAGTAACTACAGGAAGGCAATCACCTTTTTTAATTGTTTTTCACCCAACACTCCAACGATTACAAACATTGGAAAACTACCCCAAACTAAAATCAGGGTAAGAACTACAGTTAATAAGAAGCAACAAAGGCTCACACAACTGTCCCATAGCTTCACACGGCTTTCTTAGATACATTAATGTCCTCACATGAGCAACTGTGGCTCAGAGGAAGTGTCAAATTCTCTTGAAGATGAACCCAATTTATTTAGAAATAGGAAAAACATGACCCAATACAAAAGCCACAGGTGGAAGCAACTCCTTACGGGCACAAGCAACTCCAAACCCACAACTTACACCTAGAAGATGGTGCCCCATTAGGAAAGTTGGAACTACTTGAAAAGAAACAAAATGTCTAACTCATGATACCTAAAAAAAGCTAGAAATTGTTCATTTTTCTAATGTAAAGCATTAACAGTTCTAGCCTTGTCTACAACTGAAGGTTGTTAGCAGAAAGCACCAGTACAGGGGACTGCAAACTGAATAGATAGGAATTGTAAGCAGACAGATTTTTATCACCATTGCCTTCTATAGGTTTCAGAGAAAGGAAATACTTCATTCAAGATCCAAAAACATTTCTGAGACCTCTGTGGTGCTTGTCAGTTTGACACAAGAGTCCTGGAAGTCATCCAACAAGAGTCCAGCCTGGTTCTGCCTCACAGGTCCTCAAGCACAAAAGCAGCATGCAAAAAAATACGTGACAGGAAGGTAGAGATGCACACACCAAAGTCAAAGGTAAACTACCGTTATGTAAATGCTTTATGATATAACCTAATTACATGAATTAATACACAAAAGCTAAACATTTGTCTCTAGCAGATCCATAGCACCACAGCGCACTAATATTCAGAGAACCGAACCATTTAGGTTAAGTTTACACAGTAAACATTAATTAACTCATAGCACAGTCTTAACACTGGATTTGGTAAAACCATATATATGTATATACACATATATACATATATATCACTATGTTTATATTTGTGTATAGATTAGCAACTAAAACCAATTACAAATTTAAGTGCTCTTAGGGATGTACTACTGGCTGAAATTAAGAGTGCCACAGTATTGGAAATGAGAACAAAACTGGAAAAGTTCTGCACAAGAAATGTCTGTATTGGGTGTAACCAAAATGAGGTATAATAAAAATTATGAGAAGCTACACATGTAGAAATTAAGATTACTACTACATTGCATTTTCTGAGAAGTACTGTTGTACACTTCAGTATGTGTATTCAACAAGGGAGGGTCACAATTGAGATTTGACTCGGAGACTTCCTGCCACACAATTCAAGTCTTCCTAAAATCAGAGTATGACCATTCTAACGCACTGCAAAATAATTTCCTGACAATGATACTTACGCGAAATCAAATTACCAACTAGATACTGCAACTACAAAAAGACCAGTACCTCTGTTTTAAGAGAGCTGCTGAGCCACAAATAAGAAATTGTTGGGAAAACACCAGTACATTTGCCCTGTTCCTTACTCTATTCCTTCAGCATCAAATATTGTCCCTTGGTAGAGATGAAAAAAAAAACTACAGTTTTTGTACAGTGTTCACAGTGCCTAGCACATAACATGTTCTTCATACTAGGTGCAACTCTGTCCAGCAAGAATAAGCCTAGAGGTCACACACACACAACTACCTTTTCTTCCTTATCGCTGCTGAAAAGAATGATTTTGAAAATTTTTCCCAAGGTCATCACTCTCTGAAAACTCCAGAAGGCTTAATCTGCACATGGATTGCATGCAATGTACCTCCTCCAAGAATGAGAATTCTTCAAGTTACTTCTCTCACTTCTAGCAATCCTCTTGGGTTGTTTTTTTTGGCTCAACTTTTGATTGCCATGCTATTCAGCTGCTACTGTTTAACTGGAATGTAGCACAGATCATTTTAATACCACAACCAAGTAAGTAGCTGAGGACTCTGGAAAAAAAAGGACCATGACATTCAACTGTCTAGATGCGATAAGGAGGGATTTCTTTCTTTTGGTGGTTTGTTGTGGGTTTTTTATTAATCTGTTTATACTAGAACACCTCAAGTAACATAAGATTACAAAAATATTTCAGACACATTAAGGGAGTGAAAGCAGAAAGGCTTTCAGTAAGTATATTCCTCCAACATCACTTTCTGCAGTAGCTGTATACTCATTAGAGGGGTCTCACACAATTACCGAATTGCCTCAGTACAGGAGAAAGGATGCAGGCTAATATATGCCATTTGTCAAACACCCATTTTTGTCTTTACTAGTACACCTGTAAGACTCCAGGTTTAAAGCACACACCGTTGGTCACATTATTCCTAATGAAGTTAGTGGGAATTTTCCCACTGACTTCAGTAGGAACAGGTATGAGCCAGTGCTTCTAAAAAAGAAAAATATAAAATCCACCCTGCCCCCATTACAAAGCCCAACTTTTAATTTAGGAGCATGCTGTAAGATAGGAAAAGTTATTTTGTGCATTTGTAAGAGCAAAAACCAGAATAAAATTTAATATTTATTAGAACTTCTTCCAGTAACAGCATTCAACATTTTAACAAACCAAGCTGTGAAGTCTTTAAAAAAATCTAGGATTACAAAAGAAGTTAAAATGGCAACAAAGGGGGAATTTTCTATTTAAAAACAAACTTGTCATATAAACAGTAATATTTTAAGAAAATGTGATTAACATGATACGTAATTTTCAGAATGGATACACAGTGTATGAATACCAATCTGAATGAAACAGAGGGGCAGAACACACTACCCCCTTAAAAATCTCAAAATGGGCCATTTCAAGAAAGGGGAGGGAAGAGGATCTTTCTAGTGAAATAACTTAGAAGATACCACGCAATGGACAAAAAACGCAAGAGTACAGAAGACATTACATGACACCCTCATTACAACACCCCCTCAAGTCTGATTATACAGTAAATAAAGTTAGTAAAGTGCATCTTTTAAAGACTTGTCTAGTGAAATAGCTTTTCCAAATATAAAACACAACACAAGACGTGCAGTAACATAGTGTAAGTTTTTAAAAACTAATCTTTAACTTTTCATTCAATAAGGAAGAAAAGTTTTAACTGCAGTAGTGTTCACATTATTCGTCGCTAGGATGCATCCTCATGTGCTTTTGTTACTTGGCAAATCTTTAAATACGGAGCATGGCAAAATTATGCTGTTTAAGCAAGTGCTTCTCTCAATGTAATACAATTCTTCAATGGCAGAATGGCCACATGCAGTACAACCGTGTTATATTTTGGGAAGCTTTGGTGCACTAACGACGGGATTGGTCTCCTGCAAATACCTTCGCCCTGCACTCTTATAGTCGTAGGTGCAGGTGTGAGTCTCTGCATAGCGGTGTGTTGCACAGAAGTTGTTTCCACATCTGAAGAATCAAGAATATTAGAAGTTAGAAGCTTTTAGAAGCTTTTAACTCCCTGATATGCTAGGAGCGCTCTGGCTTAATAATGTCTTGTTTATTTGATAAAACTGCTTGGATTCTAATCATCCTTGACTGGTAACGTTAACTGGTAGGGTAATCAAAATGACATTTTTGTCACTTTTGCAACTTTGACCCAACAGTCTCTTCAGCTGAGAAGTTAAGCAAGATCAGTACTCCTGGAATTAGCTATCAAGGGCTGAACAATCTTACAAATTCAGAATGATGGGCTTTGATATATTTTATTTCTTTTCTAAAGACCTCACACAACATCAGTTGGTAGAATTCAGAGGACAAAACCATGGAACTAAAATAATGGCATCAGGTGAAATCCACATAATGCATTTCAATTAAAAAACACCACACTGTTCAGATCACCACATTGTTCAGACCACCAAAACAAGATGTTTAGTTCAACACAACTTCTGCCTAGCATAAACTCAAATTACTTATTTGAGATTAATAAATACAGATTTAGTCAGCTGTAAAAACATCAGACAGAATAACTATAGGGAACAGGACTTCCTATGTAACTGGATAAAGGTGCATCTTCCCAGTATCAGTTGCAATTTCAATGAGTTAAGATTATGATTTTGGCCTTCAAACTTGACAGCTCACCAGCTAAGACTCCTATCAAGAGAAAAGCATACTCTGGATGTTTTATCTGATCTGGACAAGTGCTTCAAGTGGAGACTGGTATTAGAGTCCCACTTCCCAATTATTTGATAAAGTTGTTTCTTGACACTAAAACAATTACATCATTTACAATCACAGTTCTCTTGAAATGGATTAGGCATTAGAATCATACAAGGTTTGGGATGGAACGGCCCTTAAATACCATCCAGTTACTCAAAGCCCCGTCCAACCTGGCCTTGAACAATCCCAGGGATGGGGCATCCACAACTTCACTGGGCAACCTGTTCCAGTGCCTCACCACCCTCACAGTAAAGAATTTCTTTGGAATTCTTCGGAATATCTAGCCTAAATCTCCCCTCTTTTAGTTTAAAGCCATTCTCCCTGGTTCTATCACTACATGCCTTGTGAAAAGCCCCTCACCAGCTTTCTTGTAGGCCCCCTTTAGGTACTCGAAGACTGCTATAAGGTATCACCAGAGCTTTCTCTTCTCCAGGCTGAACAACCCCAACGCTCTCAGTCTGTCTTCATTACTCATCCAACTTACTGTCTCAGTATTAGACTATGATCTCTATTTTTCTATCTATCTGGGTTCATAATAAACTCAAAAACTGTTCCTGAGACTTTGTGTGCGTGGTATTAAATTTGCTTTTCTTTGGTTCTTGATCCTGTAATTACCAGTTCTCTCATACAATGGTATTCTCTATGTGGTTCATGTTCCATTCTAATAAAAGGTTGTATGGTTGCTCCTCTTGAAACTAGAACAAATGCTATTCTTGGAGATGTGCAATTTCCCCCCTTTTCTGGGCTTCATTTTTAACCTTAAGCAAGCTGCTTAGTTACTTCTAGAACAGCTTGCAGCTATGTGATCAGCAGGAAAATGTGCAGTGTCCAAACCTGTTTAAAAATCAAAGACTGAAGAGTCAGTAAGGAGGCAGTTCTTCACCCTGAACCTCTCCAACACAGTTCCCCAGTAGCAGAAGTCTTACTCATTTTGCATTTGATTGGCATGAACCAAGATCAGCTTCAAATGCCACCCCCACAGTGCAGCAGCTCTCAACCTTGACTAGATTATGGGAAATGATACTGAAAAACAGAGTATCTTGTGGGAAACAACACTTTGAGAACCAAGATCAAAGAGAAAGTGTTTGGGTTGTTTTTTTTTGTTTAAGTTTCCAGTCATCACCACCAAGCACCAGGTCTCATTGTATTGTCTGCAAGTCATGATTTGGGGGACTAGCACTCTGGCGTTCTGCTTTTGAGATGCTCTAGATACTCAAAGGTGACTGAAGTCTCACAAGAAACAGGACACATGTAGAATCAAAAAGCTGTCAAATTCGTATAAATTCACAAACTGTGCACATGTGTTGTAACAGGGCCAAATCTGAGGAAGTTTTTCTGCAAAACTGTAATAAAGTCCATTTTCCTCAAATTGTTATTAACGATTATAATAAGCTATAATATTATAATAGAGTAATAATAATATGGTAAAGAAACTCTGCAGAAGAGAAATCTGCAGCAAGTTCTCTCCACACCAGTATAAAATGTCATTGTTCTTTTTTTGCAATCATGTTCTTTATTTCCTGATATCTTGCATCCTAATAACTTCCATTCCTTGATTTTCCTGGAGGAACATACACCTGCAACAGCAGAACAGCTACAACATCCCCGAATTTTAATTCCTAAAGTTTTGCTGAACCAAGAATTGCAACTTTCTGGAAGGTTGTCTTTTGATTTGCTATGCTTAAGGAAAACCATGCAGCGCAGGAAACCTTTTGGTTAACCCAGCTATCAATTTAAACAAGAGCAGATAATATGCTCAGCCTACCTGCACTCATAGGTGGTTGCCAATCCAGTTTTCTTGCCACAAAGAAAGCAATGCTTTGTAATTTTCTTTTTTGCTTGAATTGAGCCATTCACAGGTGGGAGATGGGTTGCTTCACCTGCTTTCAGAGGTAAAAAGACAGCAAAGACATTTTATTTTTACTTATTCATGATCACAAACTACTTCAATCTTTTGAAATCCAGATTAATTTTGCATTACTTAGGATACATCAGGTGGGAACCTCAGAGCCTAAACAGAGAGGAAAAAAAAACTCAGAAGCTAAAAGAGAGAAGACATCTCAAGCCTTTGAACACCTTTGGAAGAGGCAAACACAATGCAGGAATTGAATACATTACTCTTAACACCTGTTAAAAGTTCACATAAGTTCCAGAAGAAATCAAGAAATACATCTCCTAATGGTCTTCCCAAATGTAAAATGAAAGCACATGGTGTGATTCAGAAAGCACTGTACACAATGACTTTCCAAAGACTCAATTGGGCATTCAAGTACCTAACATCTAGTATATTCAGTAGCTAATAACTCAAGTTTGTCAAATAAATACTGCAACATTTGGAAATATTGCTGATACTCCATAATTGCAAGAAACGTACACTAGTAGACTACAGGCCTCAATTTAACTATATGATTGCATGAAGCATTTTGCAGATGTTTGTAGGAGTTCTGTACTTAACAATTTACTTTGACTTTTTCACCTGCAATTCTTGGCTGTTGCTTTAGCACCTGGAGAGCACATAAAGGAAAGGTATCTTCCTTCCCTCTGTAGAAGTAAACTCTTTGTCCACAAATTGCTTATGCATATTTACCATATGCTAGGACAGTGAAGGCCAGCAACGCATCCTCTCAAACATTCTCTCAGTGATTCTACCACCATATTGTCAGGATGCTCACAAAGACTGACCTTTATGAGTTTAGACTTTTTTTTTTTGTCCAACATACCTTTAATCCCAAAAGTCAATTCTCAGCTGAGATACAGCAGGCTACATTCAATAGTACTGCTAGGCAGTCACTACACGTTGCAGTCATCGCTATCAACCAGTACTATCCCATAGCTATCTAGCATATGAACTTCCAGGCAATGTTTGTCCATACTATCAATTTCACCATCTAAAAGCATACTATTTCAGAAGCATCAGTTAGCCCAATTTGAGAAAAAGAGCTTGAAGACAGCCCCCTGCTGTGGACCATACTTAAACAGAAAAAGGAATATACCCATCCTCACATTTGTGGTCCCTACAGCAATTACATGTAAACTGAATCTGTCCTTTGGACGGTTATACAACAGATCGTTACTGGCTACTTCTCTCTCAAGAGCCTGTATGACTTGATGACACCAACTTTGGCTTTCTCATCTACGGAACCTTTTGGAAAATACACTTTCGTCTGACATAAGATACATCAGAGGAGTATCTTCAAAGTCCTATATAAGATGACACAGGTGATAACTGGCTTCCCCATCATGCAGACATGGCTATTAGGGTATCACTTCCTTTACCATGCAGTAGGTAAGGACAGACCTGTTAATTGACTGCCAATTCAAAGCTGCACCCCCAGTTGCGAAATGAAGGCAAAATTCACTATTATAGCAACTTTTGCTCCTATATCATTACAATTACATGATTTTGCCTGTTGTGGCTCATATTTGAAGATCTATCTTCTAGATCATTCTCTATACCAGACCTTGAAATTAGTATTTAGGGACAACACATCCATTTTCAGTACACGTCAAGCATTAAGCACTCCACAGTTACCAAGACTAGGGTAGAAAGAATGATGCCCACCACAAAAATACAGAAAAATCTGCACTATCTGCACAGTAGTCTTCAGCATCCATGCTCTTATTGCTTCCTCCCCACATTTCTTTTGCCAAATCCTTCTGGCTCAGCCTGTAGCCCTTAAGACAATACCACTGAGAAATTTGGCTCTGACTTCAGTACACTCAGAAGTATTCACAGCACTGACCTTTTGGAAACTTCAGAGCAGAAATTACATTTATGTCTACAGATGACATGCAGGATTCATTAGGTATTAAAAAAAAAAAAAGCTAGGAAAGAGTCACAGTTGTGTCTGCCTAAGATCTGGATGACATCTGTATGTTAAAGAGTTGCTTAAAATATTAGAAGTGATACCATGCTACAGAAGTATAACACAGCGAGGACTTGGAAAGCCATATGCCTTACAAAGATAAACTATTCTTGCCCGCTATATATGTGATATTATCAGGAAAGATTAGATTCATCTTCAATTATTATTAAAGTCACACTACTTACCTACTCTTCTCCCTACAGCGGCAATACTTCCATTCATTCCAAGCCCATGCGCAGACTAAAAAGAAAAACATTTCCACAAGGGAATTACTAGCAGATGGAAATTAAATGGGAAGTTAGGAAGTCTGGTATCAGCTTATCTGAGATCAATGTGTTATCAATCAACATACCTACAAAGAGTGAAAGGTGACTTCTGTACACAAAATTAAAACTCCGCAGTATAAAGCCTTACTCAAAATGACTATTTAATAGTCTTCCCATACTTAAGTACGCACCAAAACAACGAAGTACATTAGAGATCTGAAGGTAGGCACATACAGTGCCAGTCACAGGGCGAACTGTGGCATAAATGACAATTAGTGAGCAGCAGGAGATGTCAGATGACACTTCAAACACAGACACTCATAATTCTATCGTTATGGTAACTGATGATTTTAGGTATGAAATGAACAACCACTTCAGTTTTTATGAAAAATTACTTCTAGGACTTGTTCAGATAAACAGGCAGTTAAAATACCAGCAGGAATTCAGAAAACAGTTAAAGATCTATCAGAGATTTAAGTACACCTCCCCCTTCCCATCTGCCTTCCCTGAAAAGACACAGACACACAAAAGTACAGTTTTCATAATGCCAGTCCCAGAAAAGACATGAAAACTTCAATTTCTTTGGAAGCTTAAGTACTCACTAGAATATATTCAGCAGCTTCATTTGAAGGAGTAGTTTTCCTAAAGCTTTCTTCCTGACAATGCTGCAGGTTTGTAGGTAGTGCAATACCAGAAGTCCAAAACCTGCCTGTCCCACAGGAACTCTGTATACTTTCCCTGTTTGTGCTTCGGGCCAGCGAAGCCAGAAATCCTATGTTACTTACAGAACTCACAGGTTCCCTGGATGCCTTGTTAGCCACATCTGTGAGGTCCCTAGCCTCTGCTTTAGAAATTACATCAGGTCTTTTGCCAAGTGACTCTACTTTCATGCTACAGAATCTAGCAGTCCTAGAAAAAGAGGAGTCTGCTAAACTGTGGACTTCCAATGATCGAAGAACATTTGGAGAGGCTGTAGATCTCAAGTTACCAGCCTCAAAGCATTTGGGTTGTGCTTGTGGCTTCAGAGAATTGTGACGTGCTGCTTGTGCTGAATACCGAAGAGGTGACAAAAGCAGATTTTTCTGGGGACTTAATTCATGAGTACGGAGAAGACCAGACCCCATTGCTGTAGTGCTCAGCACTTTGCTACTAGGTTTTCTATGCTGCTCTGCAACCTTAGATTCTTCATCTGCATCAGGCAGTTCAAGTTCTTGGTTCACCTTTCCTATGTCATATATCTCACTACACTGTTCAGTGGTGCTTTCTTCTGTTAACAAAGCAAAAGCATCTGTTTCAGGTAGAAGTTTTTCTTCTTTTCCATAAAGTTCTACATTTGTTAGATTCGGAAACAAAACAGCATCCTCCTCACTTGCTGAGGTCACATTTTCAGAGGCTTTTTCTGTATTTTCAGGAGGAGATGAAACAGCAGTCAGAATACTATTTGTAGGTAGTTTTGCATTTTCTAGTTCGACACGAGATATTTTTGGTGGTAACCTGATGCTACTAATTGACTGTGACCAGGAGTTGCTCTGCCAGGTGTCATCTTCCTTAAGAAAGTCATTAGCTGTGGATGGCATCGTTCTACCAGCAGTGGCCAAAGTAGCCAATGCTGAAAGTGCGTTTTGGGAAGACTCTGAGTGATATGAATTCCCAGGAGGAGGTAGGCAGGACTGTCCGATATGGGGGAGTACTCTTAAAAAACGGTGACGAGCAGCAGCCACTGAGCCACTAGATGGTCGAGGAGTCATCGGAGGACGAGATTTCACCTTGACAGTTTTCTTAGGCTATTAAATAAATAAAACAAAACCCAAATACAACAACAATTAGTATTTGAATTACTGTTGCATTTAAAGATTGTATTGCCAGGAATTCAGACGTTGTAAGACCAGAAAAGATTAAATCATTCTTTCTACTCTGTTATCTGCTGCTAGTCATCAAAACCACACCCCAACATCTGAGCAACAAAAATCAAAATATTACAATCAGAAAAGGCTTTTTCTGATTAAAAACTCAGATACAGGCCATAACACATCAACAGAATAGAAAGGGAAGCCAGAATGCCATCAAAGTTATCCAGCAGAGCTTAGGGTCTCAAATGAAATGAACAACGAAAGAAAGTACATCATCTTCATTTTAGATCTAGTTACCCTAGACAGACATGAACACCAATATAATGTTTTTTAGGTAATCTCATTCTCATATTCAACTTTATAGGCTTTTCAGTTACAGTATTTATAATGAAGCTTCATTTAGAGAAACACTGTTTTTTACCAGAAAACTACTGCAAAACAACATTAAAGTATTGGAAGAAAAAAAAAACAAAAACAAAAAAACCCCACAAACAGACAAACAACCAAAACCAACAAAAAAAAAAACCCCAAAAAACAACAAAACAAACAAAAAACCAAAACCACACACACAACCCACCCTCCCCCTCCAAATCCCATATATCCACAAAAAAAACCCCACCCACACATATAAATCAGGACCAGTAGTGAATTGTTGTGAAGTGTTTGAATGAGGACAGGTAGAGATCCAAGTAAGACCAATACTGCACAGCAGAACATTTATACAACAGCATTTACTTAAACAACAGGTAAGGAAACATCTAACCTTGATCCTTCACTTCCCAAGACAGCAAAGTATTTGATCTGCTTTTTAGAAAAGCCAGAACTAGGAAAGTACAAGCCATTTTACAGTAAGAAAATTTAAATCACAACTTCACCTTTTTACTCAGATTCATGTTTTCCATCTTTGCCTTGAGCAGTTTCATTTTGTTCATAGTAATTGAATTCTCAATAATCTGTTGGCCAGAAGGTGATGCCTCTGTCTCATCTTCATCATCAGCATATAAGTTATAAACTGAACCACCGCTGAAAATAAAAGAAAGTTCGTGTTCACCCTCTAATCACATCATTATGTTTTCAATGAAGTAGTATTCTCGCAACTAGAGCCATAACCGCAGTTGATCTGTTGACAAAGCATTATGTAAAGCTGTTTGCAAAGACATTTCAAATCCATTTAGTTTAGCATATAAGCATTCCTTATAAGATGCTCACACAAAGTGATGATGCTGAAATCAGAACATAGCCACGCTTCTGTGAAGTTGTTACACCATATACAGTTGGTTCACACTCACTATATATTCTCCCCACAGAGGGGATATCCAGTTCCACAAATGTCTCCTGAAGGTATGGCCAAAGCTGTTAACTGTGTGACTCAAACAAGCTGATCAGTTTTCCAATTAACCAGACACTGGCATGGAAGCAAAGTCCAAATTTCTATCCATCCTGAGGGGTGTTCTCACCATATGTGGAAATGGAAGGGTCACCCATGTGGATGTGATATTCTACTTCTCCTTTTCAAAATAAAAAAAAAAAAATAAAAAATAAAAAATAAAGGATCAGTTTAGGTTTCCAAAGTCTCATACTTGGAAAAAGAAAAAGTAAACAGGTTAGAATTGCTAGTCCCAAGACAAAATGTTTTATCTCAATAGTCACTAGAAATTTATAGCATCACATGGCCGTTTTCCATTCTGTATTCTAACAGAATGCAAAACCTCAATGTTTTAAAGTCGTTATCCGATTTGTTTCTCCTATGAAGCAAGGAAGCACTAATCACTAACACACATCCAACATTTGACAATGAAATGAAAGAACCATTAGGAGTGTCCAACTCATTACAAATTGATGCATTTTCAACACTGTATATAGTACATTTTAAAGAGTGTTTTAATTCTTCCATTAGGCTGTCAGCATCTAGAAATCGTGACGATCCGAAAATTCCCCTGTGTTCATGCAAATGTCTTAGTAGATTTAACTAAAGTTTCCAAAAGAGACCAAAGAAGAACTAAAGGTCACAAGAAAGTCAGTACCAAAATCCCATCAAAAAAAAAAACCAAACAAAAAAACCCAACAACAAACCACCCAGCTTCTTTTTCCTCCACTAATTAAAGCTGACATCTTACCTGATTCTTGGAAATATTCTGATGCCCTTAGTCAAGAGCCAGTATTTTTGCACTGACTCTCCAAATCCATTTCCTAAAATGTAGCAAAATTCTAAAGGCAGCACAACTTCAGGAGACAGATATTTAAGAGCAAGATGGCAGCAAATTCAAAGCAGGAGTCAGCAAAATAGTCCAGTCATTTCTTATCAAAAACTGAACAGCTCCATATGGGGATAGCCAGTTTGGTAAAGACTCAACACCAAAGAATCATTTCAGAATTTTAACTCTGCAAAGACTTAAGTCACCAACTGAAAAAATTTCTCAGAACTTCTGTTTGCTCAGGGTAAGGATAGAAAGAAAAGTGATGTGTCTCACACATTTGGCTGGTTTTTTGCTTCGTTGGTTGTTTTTTTGAGGGTGGGTTTTTGTTTGTTTTGTTTTAATGCAAAAAGAATCTTTATCCTTTTTCTTGCATTTCCTGGCTAAATAGGAGCCAAAAAAAATACAACACACACAAAAAAAAAAAAAAAAAAAAGGAAGAGTAACAGAAAGGGGTTTTTTTTTGCTTTGATTGTAAAATTATAGAAGATGGACATGCAGCTTTGCTCTTGATCATACTTTTAGCCCATTTTCCAATGAGTAAATTTCAAATCTACTTTGTCCATAGGTGTCAATGTTCCTGAGATCTTGCTTGTAAATACATGCCTCAAAAATGATCAGTAGCTTGCTGAAACCTTTTGACCTCAGTGCTTGCCAGTCCTGTATCACAGCTTCAACTATTTTCTTTTAATCCAGAGACAATAATTATTGTATTTACACCTTGACAAGTTTTAACCATTAACTTAGCCACAGACAAAATAAAATGATCTGGAAAACTATGAAACAAAACCCAAACCAATGTCTCAGTTCTAAATTGCAGTCATTAAATTCTGCTCCACACACAAAGAATGTGAGAAAAGCTGATAAACAAGTGCCTCAAAAACTCTCAGTCACCAGTATATGCACACATACAAACACATTTAACTGTCAGTGTGGAAAGTGCTACTATTCAGAGTGATTCATGGCCTTTCTCTATAAAGAGGAAATGAAAAGGTCCAATTTGCTTCCATTCTCTCCTCCCTTTGGTACTGTTTCCATTTCCCACAAAGTCTGCCCAGCCATAACAACAAATTAAAAAAATAAGGATTTCTCCCCCACCAAATCAGTGTCTGCCTTAGTAGAAAAACTAATAAATGAACACCCACTGAAAGCACAGAGGAAGAGAAACAACTGAAGCTGAATGTTTTCAACTCGGGTGGTTTTTAACCTAACTGGATCATTTAACCAGTGACAGCGTATTTCTTAAGCATAACATATTTGACTTTTATACTTGCTCTTGCGCTTTGAAAAGCTTACCAAGATGCCTTACAAGAGCCAAAAGAATGTGTTTTATTCCTCTGGTCTGCTAACTTTAGCCAATCTCAAGTAAATAGTAAATTACTGTTTAAACACTAGGATTATCTAATTGAAAACTACTAAGAGTTTCAGACAATTGTCCATGCTAGTTTTAAATGGGGGGTGGGGTGAGGGAAAAAACTAAACCATCTCCCACACACAAGAATTTGAACTCGTAGGCAGATACCAGAGTGCCCGTTATACTGGGAAAAAAAAAAATATAAATCAAAGTTCAAACTCCTTCTGAGAATTCCTTGCATCAATTCATGGTATAGCATCCACAGTTCTAGCTCTTCGGATGTTCATTTGCAGTTAAAGGTAAAAGGGAACAATGTGGTAGTGGCCAGGGTGTCAGCGAGTAACAGAATTACACCTATCTGCTCCTTTCCAGAAGTTTATTTAGTCCAATGCACCAGCAAGGTTCTCAGTTCTTACTGATGATGGTGGTGGTTTTTACCTATTTTGAATATACACACAACATTGTAAGTGGCTATTTACTGAAAATGAGTGCAGGGGTTGAAAGATGATCACAAATCTAAAATATTTGTGTATTTCCTCCTCTTACTACTTTTTTATATAATAATATTTCAGAATATTAAAAAAAGAAAACACCAGCAAAACAAAAAACCCCACCAACACCCCTCCTAGTTTCTCCGAAACTTCAGACAAACCCTCTCAGGATTTTTCACTGCCAAGCTACTATTGTTCTGACTAATAATTTGGTGAAATCATATCCATATGAAAATGTTTATGCTGTGAACAGAAGAATGTTTATAAACTAAACAAATGCCTTAAGATGGAAGAAAAATATATTTATTGCTAAATTGACTGTCATGTGAAATGTTCCCTTTTAGAAAGGGCTGGAATACTGAGAATTGCCGTAAGCATAAAGGTCAGCTTTGTCTCACTCTATTGACACGCACGGTGATTAAGATCACTGTCAGCATGGCCGCTGACCCAAGGTACTACTGTGTTGTTAGGCTTACCAGTTACAGCATTTTAGTAGCCTTTAGGGCACATTTCTTGCAGTACTTGAGATATTCTTTTGATAAAGTCAATAGATAAAGCTAAAAATTATACAGCATCCCCCTTTTTAATAATAGAGATTAAAACCAACTTTACCCCAAAGATTCAGATAATGGCGTTAGAGTGCCATCTCCCCGGTCTACCACACGGAAGAAATTCAACTGATCTCCTTCTCGATATACTAAGAAGGTAACTTGTTTGTTGGATGGCCCTTTTTCCCAAATCTCATCTCTAGTGGGATCCATGTATTCAGCCATTTCCCTGATAGGGTCTTCCACAGGAACTATAAAGAGAAAAAAAAAAACAAAAAAACAACCCAGAGTAAACCTAAATTATTACTACTTTTGTTCTGATCACCTTTGAGAGCTCAGCTCAGTTTACAATGGGAATTCCCGATCTAGAAGATATGTTGAGTTTGTTTGTTTTCTGAGTGAAAATTATCAAGGGAATTTCTCCATTTTCATTCCTCTATAGATGATCAACATAATTAGGTTTATCATTGGACTAAACCAATGCCTGATTCTTCATAACCAGACTTTAGAAACTATCTGTATAATGACATTACAATATCATCTTTTCTGCAGGTGAAGAATCGCTGATTTTAAGACTTAATGATTCTTTATATATAAACATAGCTGTTAAACTAAGGGTAAACAAAATGGAAAGGATGGTGCACTTGGTATGCTAAAGAAGAAAACGTATAAAAAAAGAAAGAAAAAGAATCCCTCCATTTTTGTGAAGTACTTTCCAATTGATTTGGAACTGAAGTCTGCTCATCTAGAATGCTTAGCTAAGAAAAGCTGTTTATGGTTATAAGATGTTGCATGAAACTGTTTTGAACTCCGTTAGTTCTTACCTCTTCTAGTGTTAATAGGTCCACCTCGCATAGCCAGAACTAATTTCAGAGTGCAGCCTTCCGAAATGCTGAAAATAACAAATAAGTTTTGTAGCGTCTTTCATTACTTATGCTAACACTTAGAAACATTAATTGCCATTTTATTCTGTACTTACTTATAATCATTCAAACAATAGTCATCCCTCAGCTCTGTATTATTCCAAATTAAGTGCTGCTGAGAGACAGGAATACCTAAACAAAACAAACAGGCAAAAGATTATTAAAATTCAAGCTTGAAGGGAGTTCTTTTTTAAGAATGAAGAATGTGGGGTAATGGAAGAGAGGTGAGAAAGTGAATTAGAGGGGAAAGACAAGAGGAAGTGGGAAAAGGACAGGCATTTGAGCAACCTTCAGTCATGATATCCAACCTCCCAAAAAGCTGTTAAGAACAATAGCTGTTTTTCTTTGCAAATCAAAGTAAAGATTTTCAACAGGCTTGTATTCATAGGCAGAGTTCAACCTTTTGGCTCAACAAGCGGTCTGTAAAAGTATGCAACTGCTTCAGGCTTACTGAATACTTGCTTTTTTCCAGTCTTCAGATGAAAGTTTTTTTTCCTGTTGTCTGTACCTCAGAGCTTTATGTCTACTGACAGGATAAAACTTCTAACTATAGAACTGCTGAATAATTTAATTACAGCCTGATATTCTGTATTGCAGTAATGACAAGGTTGCATTAAGGCAGCTCTATTACAGTGGTGACAGCTCCAAATGTTTTTTTATCATTGCTTGGTTTGGAACCAGAAAGTTCCCATGTACAATATAGTACCATAGCAGGTAGTTAAACTTTGTACTACAAACACTTTTATTTATTTTTGGGTATTCTTTCAAGCCATCAGAATACTTTATTACTCATATACAGTATTATTCATTTTCCACTCAAGTTCAGGGACAGATGTGGCTAACTATTTTTTGTTAAAGGGAAGTAAGCATTATGAATATTTCCTTATTAAAAATCCACGTTCTACACAACAATTAACTTTGTCAACTTAGTCAACTAATTTAGATACAGATGTAATACACATAAATAAGCATAAGCCGGTACAACCTGAGGTCTTCACACATTTTTACTAGAATGCTACCACTTTCCAAATTTGGGATAGAATACAATAGGAAAAGATGAGACATCTCAGATCACACACAGGAAAAAAAAATAAAATCTTCCTTCAGCCTCAAAAAGAAGCACTGTTGTTCAATTTGTCCAGTGAAGTCCAGGTAATTAAGATCTCTCTGTGCATCCCTGACAAATTGTAACCAAAATGAAAGCCTAGAGAGGCCAGAACTACTTTTTCAAAAGGGTCTAAACATTACTCCTCAGCCTAAGAAGTAATAGCTATAAACATATTTTTCAAAAGGTTACATTAAAATAACTTTATCTTATACTTTTATTTTTTGCATGTTCAGGTATTCAAAAGGATGTACAAGTAGCAATGCCACACAGTAAGACTTTCCAAAATACATCTGGCAAGAGAACGCAAAGATCAGACTCTTCCAGGTGGTTTCCAAACACACCTCAGCTCCCCAGAGCTTGCAATAGTGCTTAGCAAGCTGTGGCAAAAGGTCAGTTAAGTAGCTGCTTCCCAGCTGGAGGAATGGCACAAAGCTACCAACACCCATCACTAGCAAGGAAGAAAAGGGGACCAGATTCTGATGAAAGTCCAAACAGATTCAACAGGCAAGTAGGAGACATGCCAAGTGGACATCCTTGTGCAGAAGAGGGAGTGAACTCTGCAACCATCGCTGTTGTTACTTAAGTTTTAGAGAAGATGACAATATCATTTTCTCACCGCAGCTAACATCATCTTCTCTTTTATGAACAACCAACACAACTTTACTTCAGTTGGACAGCATTTAATGTGAATCCTGTATCCTCTGAAGTCCACAAGACATTTATGAGAGGAATATGTTCATGTAGTAGACTAACATAAGTGCTACTACATTGCCAGCTATTTAATAACTGGTTCTTGGTTATGATTCAAGTCTGCATCGTAAGCAAAACAGGAACAAGCTGGCAACAGCCAGCAAGTCTACAGTGAAGTTGTTTTCTGTGTTGTTTTGCAGTCTTCTGATTACAAACAGTCATTACTGTCTGCATTTGTTATGGTTTCAGCAGCCTCCAAGGAGCAATTTCCAATTACTTTGATAAACCAAAAGGGCATTTGTTAAAAAGATTGGCTTACAACTGGCAGTAGCGCAGTGAAACACCGTTTTGTTCATTTAACAATGACAATGTATTTTTGATGAAATGGACAGATGAAAAGACTATACTCTGCTGTAATGAAAAACAGACGAGTCTTTATTATTAATTCCTTTTTATGCTGCTTTCTAAGAATTCTGTATACAGAGAAGAAATGTGCTTTACAAGTTCAGGTGCAGGAAAATACGATCAGCTGTCCCTTTTCTGGATTATAGTAAGGCTTTCTTGAGAAGACATTTGTGCATGGGATCAGCATGTAAAACTGGCAACAATAATAAGAATTGCAAGACACCCATCCACTCTCCCTAAGCAGCACATGACTCTATCACTGGCCTACTCTACATCGGTTCTGAGAAGAGAAGTAAGTAGTGTAACAAGCTACATCTCAGTGCTCAAAATGACTTAGCCTAGCCAGGTGATGCTACAGGACAGAAGAGTCTGCAGACTTCTGGTGGTGCATTTGCCTGCCCTGTTCCCCCCTACCCCCAATCCCTGGGCTGCTCCATTATCTCAGGAATTCCCATCAGGCCTTGGCCTTTGCGTAATGAGTTGGGCAGCGAAATGTCCCTTGACCATACCAGGAACTCTTGCATGGCTAAGGGGGAAAGCACTGATCGCATCAGGGATGCCTGTTCCCTGGCTAAGGTAGGAGAGCGGAGATAAAAATCAGTCATCCCCTGACAGCCTCAGAACACTCCCTCCCATGATGTAGCCTGAGTAGAATGGTACCACCGTTACTACAGGTTTGAGAAATTTCTAGTAATTACCAACTCAGATTGTGCTCAGGATGGAAATTTACTAATGACAAAAGCCAATCATCTTGTGACCTGATAAACAGTTGTCCTGAGTGAGACCCTTTCAGCACTCCTGGACCACAGCAGGCTGCAACCAGCACCTCTCTGAGTTGGATGCCCCTCAGAGTCTGCAAACTCTAAAGTTTGTGATAATTGGAGGACCATCACCAAAAGACAGGACCTGAGCTGAAGTCCCCCCACCCCTTGAGACTCAGCCTTCACCCATTGAGAAATGCTGAGACATCAGGAATATTTCAGTGACCTCAAGGGGAATTTTTAGCAAGTATGGCTATATATGTCTTCAGTGTGTAGGTTTTATATAGATTGCTATATAGATTACATATGCTATATAGATTTTATATAGATTGCTATAGCAAGTGTAGTAAATACTATTGACTTACTTTACAGGATGCACCTTAAAACTGCAAACTGCTAGTAGGTGAAAGCTGTGTAAACATTCCCTCTGTGGTGAATTGGTACACTTGTAACCCTTTAGATATATACCTCTGACCAAGCCTGAGACTGAAACTAGACTCAGCCACACCTAGGCTCCTTCGGGAGTTTAGAAAGCAAGGGGGTCTATTCTGAAGCTCGTGACTCAATGGGAGGGTGTCCCTAATCCTTTTGCACCTTCAATCTCTCTATCATTCATCTTTACCTAAATTTTCTTCTGTGTGTTTCACCCATGCAATAAGTAAGAGTGAACCTTGCCATTAAATTCTGTTAAGTTGCACTTTTATTAACTCATTATAAAACTTTTGATGGTTATTCTTTGAGCAACCTTAAACCACTCTTCATGCAAGACTGTCTCCTGAAATGGCTGCAGATGCACTGACAATCTGACCTACTAAAACGGGGAGAGGAAAGGAAAGCAGTAAGTCCTCTGTCTTGTCTCTGAATCAGCGTATCAGATACATTCTTAAGCTTCACTCCTTTACTCTTCTTTCTGGCATGCTAAGCAGGTTCACCAGAGAAACTGATGTGGTCCAGTCAGACCCAGAAACAAATAACCAAACCTGTAGATTTCAGAATTTTAAGTTGTGTGTAGGTTACCATATTTAAAAACACCACAAACATTTAGAAGTGAAAGTTCAAACGGTTTACTTATCTTTGATCCAATGTCCAAATTGCTGGAAAGTTTCTTATTTGTTCCTGCTTGCAGAGAGGCTGGGCTGACAAGTCTCATTTTCCCCCACAAACTAGCTACACTAGGGAAGAGGTGCAAAGGTTCACAACTTACAGCAGCAGGACTGTTTTCGCAACTCTCAAACCTCCCAGCTTTCATTTGCACGATAGTAAGCTACATTAGTGTACATGGTGATCAGTGTTGACCTCTTCTTTATTCTAGGGATTGATGGAGGAGACTAACAGCAAGTCACCATTAACTGGATACAGGCCCAATTTCCTGGCAAAGGTGACCTTATTTACGCCTTCCAGATGCAAGCTTATGCCGAGATGAGATGGTTAGAGAAGCATTTGCAGGAATGTTTCCCCAGCTCAGACAAGGCATAAGCTTAAAGAAGCTTCATGAACTTCTAGTCTCTATCAGCACAGTAAACAGGCAAATAACAAAGCAAACAGGAGACACAGAGGAGAAGTAGCAGACAGAAGAAAAGTGAGATTTTTTGAAAACTTGTTACCCTTATGCAACCTACTTACTCCGGTCCTGACAGAAACATAATTTTCTCTAATATAAGTAGTAATAAATATAATACGTACTCTGAATTCATATAATTTAAAAAGAAATTACAACATCCAAAAGAAATCTGCTTGATGTTCATCCACTTCCTTTGCTTCAGGTGAAGCTGCTGTACATGGGCAGCAAAATAATGACAGCAAAAAAACCAAGGTATCAACTGTCATGATGAATTAAGAGTACACGCACATGCAACAAAATTACTATTGCATCTGTTGTTCCCTGTTGAAAACAAGCATTCCAAATTAAGATGTACTCTAAAAGCTAGTTCTGGTTTTCCCCTTTACAATAATACAAGAACAAGAGAACACCTAAGTTTTCATCTAAAAAAGTGGATGTTTCCATATATGCAGATCATAAAATTCAGTCGCAAGCAGTCACTGAACAAATCATGACCAAATTGTTCCTTTTTATTTTAAAACTAGCTATGTAAATGAAGGCCTTAACTCTCCAGCTGTAGAATGCAAATTCCCACAAAATAATAATACCACTATCACCAAATCCCAATCCCTTGAGACTCGATCCTATCTTACTGAACACACACACACACATTTACAGGTATTATCTATGGCTCTTTCACAGATGAAAGAATTAGCCTCTCTAAGAATACACTATCTGAATGTTCCTTCTATAAAATTCAATGTAATAATTGGTGTTTCCAAGTGAGTAATATTAAACTTTGCCCAGCAGCTACAAAGACTTGTGCAATAGAGGCAGCAAAAAGATACCTTCCAGAAAAACAAGGCAAAAAGCTATTTCCTCTTTCAATGAAGTCTTGCTATTTTTAAGTACCATTCATGTGTTACAGCTAAGTCTTTCGCGTCACCTTGAAACTCAGGTACCACCTTATCCATATCCTGCTCATCCATGTCCATCCAACACATGATCCTGCTTTCAAATACAAAAAAATCAAATAAAACCAATGGAGCAGGTAACACTGCTGCCCATGCTATGCTGTGCTGCTGGCTGTGTGTATTCTAGCTTTTATGCCACCAGTAGAGGCAAAGGAAGCTATTTCTTCTCCAGTGTACCATTTTAAAAAGCTCATTCAGTGAATCTGAGACAAGGAGCAATTCACCCTAGGTGGCTCCAAAGTCAGCATTATAACAAATCTAAATTTTTGGATACCAAGTGGTTACTTTGCATGGAAAATATTTGAGGACAAATGCCTGGATTTGATCCCAACACACAAAGATCTGCTTTAACTTCAATTTACAAGTAGACTAATGCACTGAAATTTCAGATGCATTAGAACCCATTAATAAATTTTTACGCATATTCTTTACTGACTTAAAACCAACTGGAAGCAGAAAGCTGGAGATCTGGAGCTCTTTCCTAGTAAGGTACCAATGTCTACTACAGCTGTCTAAACAAGCCCTTCCCATATCAGATCATTAAATAGGCACCAAGAATGACAAGTATACAAAATTCCTAACATGCTATCCATCTTATCCTTTCTTATTACAGTGCAGTCTACAGCTATTGATTTTCAGGTTGTTGACAAAGATCAGTTTTCTTGATTTAGTTTTATTATTAGCCTTTTACAACATTTGAAAAAATTTGTTAACTTCTGAGACAACTCTAGATTTCATTTTGGAGATCTCAGGTCTTAGATAATTTTCCCACAACTTGTCCTTTTACACGCTTACATACCACTATCCTCAACACCCAAATGAGTCCACAGAGACAATACATATACTAGAGATGCTATACAGTCTCCCAGCAGTGCAGGAAGCATTCTTCAGCCAGAAGTGCAGCTTAAATGCACCTCTCTGTTCACACCCCATGAAAGCTGACACTATACAATAATAAAAAGTGAAAAACAGCAGCAGAAACAGGAACAGATGTAAGCTTTATACTTCCCATACTAAATTACAACAGCAAAATTACTTTAGGATTTTTGCTCCAGCTGGGTGATTCATTGCTTGCACTTGTGCACTGTAACAGGAACTCCGCCAGTTAAAAGTGGTTCATTATTTTTCACATGCAGTATCAACCCCAAAAGCAACCTAAAATAAATTTGTCACTATGCATCTGTCCCCTCTACACATAGCTGATCAATCTGTCTTCGCTCTGCCTCAAATAAATCATATTAATCAGAACACTGCAGATATTTTAAACTCTCTTCTGGAGTACCAAGGTGTTTCAACTGACTTCTAACAATTCAATGATAAGCACCAGTGAAGTCTTATCTTCCATGTTTTAATGAAATTTACTTACTAATAAAGTCCATACACCAGGCACCTAAACCATTACCATCATCCTATCAACTACAACACGTGAACAAAATTTTGAATAAATAATTTCATTACTGAGCTGTTCTTCTAATAAGAAACTACAACGCTTTTGTAAGCTAGGCACACCCAGCCTACAATAATAAGCTACAGGTATAGTTCAAGATATCTATTGGCAATCTCCTATTTCAAAGTACGAGAAATTCCTCTTCCTCTCATCTCCTACTGTCTTTTCATGTATCCTTCCTTTAACGCTCACTCCATCTGTACTGTCCAGATAACTTGCCTTCTCCCGTACTCTATTGCCTACGCTCCCTTTTAATTCGCTCGTAGTTAGCATTCTATCATGTATCTGCTTGCATCACTCCTACGCCTATATTCAGTCATGAAGAAAACCCCTTTCCTTTTCTTGTTTCACCTCTAGCCTCCAGGAGCGTCTCAACATATTCTCAGACTTGTGATTAATTATGGCCCTGTCCACAGGAAACAAAAGCATATCCACATAGCTGCGCTAATGGAGCTAGACTGATGTAAATTCTAGTCATCTGCATGGTGGAGCTTTTACTATGTGACCTTACTAGCAAAAAGTCACTCCTGTTGTTGAAGGCTTCTGTGTTTTAAGACTTGTAGCTGCAGTTTTTTCCATCCATTAGCACAGATTTCCATAACAGGAGGACAGTACCTTAGATTCAAGCCTAAAGCATCACACTACATCTCCCAGAGGTGGGTTCCACACAGAAGAATGAAAAAAAGTGTTCAGGTATACTGGGGAAAGAGAGGATGCCTTTTCTTAAAATCAGCAACTCTGGTACCCTCAGCTTGTGTAGCTACACAGTTCTTTAACTCCTCCAAAGTGAGGAAAAGGATGCAATGCTTCAAAGTGTATTTTAAATTATGTTCTTTCATGCAGGATCACCCTCATCGTAGAGAGAAAGAGGTGAGAGAGGACTAAGCTACATCTCTTCCCCTCACACTAGCACCAGGACTGGACTCATAACTTTAAGGTTTTCACTTTACGAAATGTGCCAAGTTCATCACTTTAAGACAAAGCATTGTTCAGCCAGACTTTTACCAGAAAAAGATCACTCACCTAAACAAAATTCTAATCAGAAACTTCGAGCCACCTTTGCATCTGCCTGCACTGCAGCTGCTCTTGTGACTGTAGTATCATAAACAAACCATAAACTGACCAACCTAAGAAGCAACAACCAGAGCACCTATGTTTAAAGTATGCTCGACAGCTGCAATACAAACATACTGCAAGACTCTAGTTTATAACCTTGCTTGTTAATAACTTATGCCAGAGAACACTTTCAACACCAAAAATGCTAAACAACTAATGATCTACCATAGACTTCTAAAGATTTACCTTAATTAAAAAAAAAAAAGGGGGGGTTTGGCAAAAATACCAATTCCAGTGAAGTCCAAGCTGTGAACCGGCAGGAAAAGGAAAGAACAGAAAAAACCCTCAATTCCAATTAAACCCAAGACATAAACCAAGTGCCTAGTTCAGGTACATATTACTGAACAAGTAATTTATCCAATTTGAAGAGCGATTATAATTTGTAAAACAATACTTTCTCTACAGTGATAAAGCTTATACTGAAATAAGAGAGAATAGTACCTTCCAGCCTTTGAATTTTAGCTTTCACAGAAATAACCGTTTCAAAAGGGGAAACTCGCAGTTCAAAGCATGTTCCTGTGAGTGTTTCAATGAAGAGCTCCATAGTTTCATAAAAAGGAAGCTTGTAGTGAAATGGTCCCATATTATCTTCGTTGAAAAAAGGAGGCTCTTTCTTGTTGGCCATTACAAAGGATTTACAACTTCCTTGTAAGGAGATCTGTCAGAAAACCACATTCCACTTCCAGCCAAGTCAGCTTTGAGGACAGGTGTGGTGCATCGCTGTTCATGTCTAGGATTTTTCACCTATAAAGCAAACAAGCATAGCTCTAACAACTGAATGTGGCTGTTGAAGAGAGTTTCAATTTATTCTCGATGAACAATGGAACAGCTATTAAGAAGCAGTAAATTACTATCTAGGTTGTACATCAGATAACGACAAACGGTATTAGTATATTGTAGTTTTAGGACTCTAGTTTCAGACAGCATTCCAGGTCCTACCTACTACCTTTCTTATTTTTACTTTGTTTTCACAAGCGACCTACATTAACACCCAAAGCCAACAAGAGCTGAGCCCTCAGCAGGATCAGACCTGGGAAAAAAAACTCCAGGAAAGCATAAACACGAGGACTCGTCCGGGCTCGGGGTGAGCAACAGAACAGACAACAGCTCTGCCCCCTGAGCCGCTCCATGCTCCCCCCGGCCCAGTCCAGCCCTGCACCGGGCGGCAGGCCAGACCCAGGCCAGCAGAGCCGAGCGCCCGCAAACAAAGGAGCGAGAGCAGCTGCCCACCCTCTCTCCCA